AAGTTGTGGAAGTTTTACTGCTGTATATGTGGTTAATACAGTGGCAATTATACTGGAAAATACTTTATTTCAAACTCAGTAATTCAAAGTAGTCTGTAAGGTTTGTTTCATTTGATTCCTCTGAGTAAGACTTGAGGTAATGCAGCCTTCTGTTATATATTGAAAGGTTTAATTTTTCCAAGAGCACAGGTTGTAAAATAGCCTGTAGCTACTGTTATTAAATAGTGTTCCTTTCCATTGAAACAAACTTGGGAACTCTCCTAGAGATAAAGGAAAAAATCTTTGATTTAGTATCAGCTGTGTGTGTTATAGCTCTTGTTCATAGTTGTACTTGGATGATTCTGAAGATTGCTTGAATGTTGATGATTTCAAGTTTGTAGGAGTACCTCTCAGGTTTTATGAGACTCATCTGTTCCAAAGTTCTGCATCTGGAAGAGGAGAAGAGATTTATGAATAACCTGTTCTGGTCCTTGTACTCATCAAGAGATTTTGTGTAGCTAAGCACTTAGGTTCTTTCTGCCTTTTTTTCTTTTCCTCCAGATACTTACGCAGAGATAACCACTCAAAGGACACATGGTGGCTCACAGAATAGAATAGGAGGAAAATAAAATGGAAAATCTAATAGAAAATAAAATAGAAAATAAGATAAAATGGGGGAAGAAAAACCTCAAACCTATGCTGTTTTTGTGTAATGGAAATACAAAGCTGATTAATTCTTAAAGAGTAATTACCCTATTATTTCAACTTAGATAGCTGATGAGAGTTAGAGAGAATCTTCTTTTGTTGTTTTGCAGTGTTCAAGTATTCTGTTCAGGAAAACTAATTTGAAAATTGGATAGAACTTTATCTTTCTTGACTAAAAATGTCAAATCTTGCTCAACTTTTTTGGTAGAAATGGCTCACTTTTTTCTTTTGGATATTTGCAGAACAAAATTTTTTGGAGTTCTTTCCCGTATAACTTCAAACCATTTCAGATTTTTATGTTGATTGAAAAATAATAAGGCTATTTTGTCTACATTAGGAGGAGTAGCCTCTATATAAATTGCCTGTGTTGATAAACTATTACCGTATGACACCATTAAAGCAAATTCAGCATTAAATAGGTTTTTTCCTGCCCCTTTAAAGTCTTCTCTCTGTTTTAAGGTAGCAGTGAACGTTCAGTCATTTCATCTAGGATGCGCTGTGTACGAGAAGTGATACTGCTGCTGCTTTCAGTCCATATGTTGGGTTAAAGACAAGTCCCAATACCTGCGTTTTTCAATCTGTTATAGAAAGATAGGCATTGGCTTGGCTGCTTGTCCATATGCGAATGGCAAGATTTATGACTCTTCTGCCTGCTTATCTGAGAGCATGCAGTGTATGCCTCAGTTAGATTATTAATAACGCTATCCTAAATGAAAGGTACAACAGCCTGTTTGGGAGGGAACAACAATGCTCAATATGTTATAGCAGCTTCTGAAAACTAATATCCCTCTATAACTGAGTATAGCAGAAAAGCAGAGCCAATACTTTTTCTGCACTTTCTTTCCATATTGTAGAAAATGCAGTATATTTTGTATCTAGTCTTCCATAATGTAGTTGGTGGAATCACTTCTTTTAAAAATAACTTCATGTATTTCTTGCTACTATTGATGTATTAAATGAACTTTGTTAAAAAAAAATGAGAACACAAGTGCAAGAGCAAGAGAGTTTAAAGTTATCAAGAGAGCTAGATGTTTCTACTTGCATCTTATAAAAATATGGATAAAGCACTCTTTAAAACTACCCACTCCTGTCAATGTCTAAACTCTTTTATGTGCCTTTGCTGAACATCCCAAAAATAGCTATTTTGTGGCTGTATTCAAGTACTGAGAATACAGTCACGTCTCTGCTGAAGTTTAGCAGCTGAGTTAAAAGATACCAGGCCCTGCGTACTGGGTTCCTGATCCATCTTTTCTCTATTTGTATAAGGACAGGTATTTGGCGGACCAAGGCTAGCAACAATTTTCCAATATGGAGCAGCTTGGCACTTTCATCTTGTGTGCATTATAGTAGCATATGGTATATTTTGGGAACCAGCTAATTAGAGACTCTTCTTTGTGTGAATTTTATAGGCTAGAAGATTACTACAAAATATCAAGCTTGACCATTTAGCCTGTGTTCTGCTAGTGTTCCTAGAAGCTTAGTGGAAGTTTGTCTCAGCAACCTACATATTAGAAGATTGATAGAAAACAGTGATTTTTTTGGTCAAACATTTACTCCTCTGGTCTTACTATCTAGCATAAAATGTGAAGATATTCAGAAGCAGGAACAAGAGGCTAAATCTTGCTCCTTCCTAATAGGAAGACAGCCCAAACAGGTGGTTCTAGTTCTTTTTTTGCTCTGGAATGGAAATTTATCCTGATGCAGACTGATCATATGCTGCCAGGCTTGCAAGGGATACATTTATCCAGAGGATACATTTATACATTTATACAGAGGAAGAAACCCCTAAATGAAGCACATGGGAAAATTATAGATTCTGTTGCCACTCACAGGAGATAGGGACTTTGACATCTTCATAAAATTGTCTTACTTTGTGGTGGACAGTTTCTACCATTAGGAACTACTCTGATAACAGAGGTCAAAATCAATGGCTGCATCTTTGAGAGGGAATTCTCCATTTTATATGTTTAGAGACGAACAGAAGAAAAAAATATAGAAATAAAGAAAGAAGATTATGTCAAGCTTGAGATAAATCGAAATTAAAGGAGAAAACTTTCCAATGTAAAAATTTCAGGCAAGAGAAAGGGAGATGGTATTGTTCATTTCTTTTTATGAATCCATTGTCTCTGAGAATATAATCTTCTCTTTCTAAAAGTTGCTTGTGTGATATCTCTTTATATGTATGTATTTGAATAACTGTTTCCCAGATGTCTTAGGAAAGCCTGTAAAATTTATTTTACTTCTGATCATATTCAATGAAAACATTTCCATTTTGTTGACAGTTAATATCTATACTTAATCATTTATTCACTAATCGTGTGTTTTCTACAACAATTTAAATAAAATCCCCAAATGGGAGTAGAATTCTCTTACATGTCACCGTTTGACTTAGAGTGTTTAGATGTGGTAAGCCTTAAAGAGCACAGACTTGTCTATCAAATTGAGTTTTCCTAAATAAAGCTCTTCGTTTCTTCCAAAAGGAGGTTGCCTTTCATATTAATATTATCGCTCATATAAACATGTTCAGTTTTAATTTTTAGTGTGTACTGTGCTCACTTGTATCTTATCCAATTTCTTTTTTCTAGCTTCTAAAGTATTGTTAATCTTGGTTACCTCTCCTATGATCAATCAGTTTTGATCATTTCCTCACCTGTCTAGATTTTTCTCAGGCATCTGCCATCCGTGCCTCATTTTCACTTTTAACTTACTAATGTTTAAGTAGCTATTTGTCACTTCTCATCTCAGTGGTTAGTGTTCATGTTTTTAAATTAATATTGTTTAGGCATCTGTCCATAGGGCTCTCACCAGGATTTTAAAGGCTCATCTGCAGGAAAACAGTTAATGCCTATTCTTCATCCAGTAAGAAAAAACAGATTGAAAGAGGCAGGAGGCTTGCAAAACTCAAAGCCTTTTAGTATTTAATAATATTTGAAAAGGAGAGTTGTAAGTAAATACCTATTTTTTTTTTTTTTTTTTTTTCACGCAGGAAGGGTTATATTCACCCGTT